CTCCATACAATACTACAAAAATCTAAGATTGACCGAACACAGGAAAAGTATATAGTTTTTAGCGTTATTGTTTTATTAAAGGGTTTGTGCTAATCGTAAGAATAAATCCGAAGCTACGAAATGCATTGCCTAACATACAATCAATGTGTAGATTTAATGACAATTTTGAATCCATTATTATACCCAGATCTCTAATACTATCTACTCTTTTGATAGTGGTGTCATTCAAGCTACAATCAAATATTATATTCTTGAAAACTGTGAAATTTACGAGTAGTTTTAATTACTTCACGTGGTAAAGCCGTGCTGCAGCTATATTAGCAGTATAGTTGTAACACGAATGGGTCAGCTCGACCGGGGAAGAATCACGCTCTCACAGAATACCCGCGTAAAATAGCAGCTTAACACTGTTATGATTCGTATGGTGGGTGTTACCGCCATTTCTCAAATTAAAATATTCCGCGTTTTGGTCAATCTTATCGACGAATCAGATTTCCTCTATAATACCTTCATTTATTCCACTAATTCCTTCGTGCGACCGACAATCGGGTAGAAGGAGAAGTCTAAGTAAGAACACGCCCGCACGCGGAAGCATATTGTGTCACGCTCGCGACTCGCATATCTGTTCAGTTATTATACGCCTAAAATCACGGCCGTGAATTGTATAAAATAAGTGTAAATCGCGCAAGAAAACTAGGAGTGTACCACGCGAGTGTCAACCTCAAGTAAGAAAAGAAGCTGACGGCGTTCTCCAGGTACCGTACCTTCAGTTTTATGTGTCGGTTGCAAATTTCAACGAAATCCAATTCCAACTACCTATTACAGTCCACTTTATTCCAATTTTGAACCACGCGTCACCATTTTGGTCACTTCGCCCGGATTAAAACCTTTCCAATTCGATTACCATTTTTGCCACTTCGTTGGAATATTCAGATGCAGAATAGGCATAATTAAAACCATATATATATATGCTTAGAAACATTTAAATATAATATTTTACTTAATTTTTTTTTTTTTATAGGATAAGGGTGACAAACGAGCACACAGTCCACCTGATGGTAAGTGGTTGCTGCGGCCCATAGACATCTACATCTATCCTCTGTTACAAATCAAAATGTAGATGCGTTGTCACCCGTGAGGACTAAGATGGAATGCCTCATTTCCAGTAAAAAGGGCCTCCGGCCACCTGCACTCACCAAGCGAAACGCAGAAGTAAACCTCTACTTCACGCTGGTTTTCTGTGAGGTCGTGGTACTACCCCGGTTCGAGCTGGCCCATCCGTGCGACAGCAAAAGCTGCCGCGTGGCTCTACCACTGTATATATACACGAATTATATATTTATTACATTGATTTAAAGCCGTATATTTATCGCTATTATATAACTTACCGCAATACATAATACAATGTCTACATACCCGCTCGCTCACGAAGAAATTTAGATCAGTTTAATAAATCTACCTGATATTTCCGCGACAGATTAAGTGTTTAGGACGCTCTAATTATTAGTGTATTTGTCCATCTCTCGCCAGTTAAAATTAAAACTTTACTTATAACCTTAATATTTCCTATATATATTTATTATAAAAATGTCAAAAACTAGCGCGTCAAAAACGAATGAATCTAGGACCGAAACGCCAGACCCCAAATTAATGATGTTATTGAATATAGCTATAGCTAGGCGCGATTCTTTATTTAACCGCTTACAAACAATTTATGATCGCTCTCAACAAGTAGATAGTGAGGTGGACAGGGAAGAGTTCCTTTCTGGAGCGATTTCGATTGATGCATTACGAAGTGATTTCGAAAGGGTATTAACCGAGTACAATTTATATAATATGCAAGTCTACCCAGAAGCAAAGGTGGAATATCAGTCATGGGTTGCGTTCGAGGAACTATACTGTCATATAAAACGTGTAATGTCTCGTTTTACAAGTCGAATAACAAATGAATGTCCGAGATCGGCCACAATATCGCGACCGTCTTTACCGCCTATAGAGCTAGCGTCGTTTGATGGTGATATCCGCTCATGGTCTTTATTTTATGCAAGTTTTAAATCCACTGTGCATTATAACCCGTCCCTATCAGACGCCGATAAATTGTATTACCTGCTAGGTAAATTAACAATCAAAACGCATTCTGTGTTCGCCGGTATTACTCCTTGTGCTGAGAATTATGAACTTATTTTGAACGCGCTTATAGAGAAGTACGATGATAAACGCGTGCTAGCATCGACCTATATCAATCAAATTTTTGACTTTAAACCAGTTTCTAACTCTTCTGCTCGAAACCTAGAATTATTTTTACATACGTTCGTAACCGCGGTTAGCGCATTAAAAAACTTACAAATACTCGACCTAACTGATTTTATTATATTACATACCGCCTTAAAAAAGTTAGACCCCGAAACAGTTCGTTCTTTTGAAATGCATTCTCGAAAGGATAAAATTCCTAATTTTAAAAGTTTAACCGACTATGTAAAGGAACAAGTTAATATATTACAGCGCTCTTATCATTCGAGTTTGACCTCGAATTCGAACCCGAATCACCGACCTACCGCAAAAGTTCCACAACCGCAATCTTATGTCGCTATGGCCGATACATACAAATGTTTGTGCAGGGATATTGTGCATGATCATTTATACAAGTGTCCGGCGTTTTGTAAAATGACAGCGAACGACCGTTATAAATATGCTAAGGAACGACACGCTTGCGTAAATTGTTTGAGTGTTATACATAAGGCAGGGACTTGTAACTCTAACTCTAAATGTAAAATTTGCAAAGGCAAACATCATAGTTTACTTCACTTTGACGCTTTCAAACCTGCTAACGCTCGCGTTGTGACCACCGCCGCCGAGTCATCGGGTACAACGCGCGCGATCGTACCGACAACAGCTGCTCCCGCGTCGTCGCCCGATGCGCGCAGCAAGAGCGTTTCGTTGTGCACAACGTCCATTGCCGCACCGCTATCAACGCAATCTTGCGTATCCGAAGATTTATTTACACGCAATGTATACACTACGGTTCTGCTATCCACTGCAGCGGTTATGGTACCCGACGCGTATGGCACGAGCCGTAGTATGCGTTGCTTATTAGATAGTGCATCACAGAGCAATTTTATAACGTGTATCGGAATGTTGTGATAGATTAGGTTTATTAGTAAATAAAGACAACATAAAGGTAAAGGGTATAGGGGGTTCAGAAAAATACGCAAAGGGAGTTGTAGCATTCCAGTTCACTTCTCGTTTTAACCCTAACATAAGATATAATATTTCGTCGCTCGTCGTCGATAGAATAACAGATGACTTACCGTCTATGCCTGTCAACGCATCCGCTATGCCTTTCTTACAAGATTTGCCGTTGGCCGATGAAAAATTCTTTGAGCCATCACAGATCGATGTTCTGATCGGTGCTTCTTTATTTTCGCAACTTTTATTGCCCGGTATAGTAAGGGATAACTCTGCTGTACCGCCAGCTATACAAACAACGCTTGGTTACGTAATTATGGGCACTGTGCCCGCTCTTCCCGCTCGCGAAAACGTAACCTTGACGTGTTGTAGTACATTACCTGCACACGCCGAGGAAAACCGCTCAATTTAAAATTTTGGGCTTGAGTTGGGATAAATCTCGCGATTGTTTTGAACTTAAAGTAACCAAGCTTGACGAAAGGTGTTCAAAACGAATCATTTTAGCCACTGTAGCTAGAATTTGGGACATAATGGGCTTCATAGCGCCTGTTGTTCTCTTCGCTAAACTTCTCATAAAGGATTTGTGGCTATTGAAACTTGATTGGGACGATTGTCCGCCCCAGCAAATAGTCGAAACCTGGAAAAGGTTTTGTATAGAGTTACCGCTACTCAATGACGTCAAAATACCGCGACATTTGGGGGTCTTCGAACATTGCGTTGTACGACTGGTCGGCTTTTCTGATGCTAGTGAGCGTGCTTATGGAGCAGTGGTATACGCCCATATTACTCAAGCAAGCCAGGTTACGACGCGACTCGTCTGCGCCAAGTCAAAGGTCTCACCAATGAAGCCTTTGTCTATTGCACGTCTCGAACTCTGTGCTGCCGAATTACTGGCAAGACTAATTAAACGCGTGCATGACACCTACGATTCACGCTATCATATTAGTGATATGTACGCGTTCACAGACTCAATGGTCACACTTTGTTGGATAAACTCTTCTCCGCACCGCTGGCAAACTTTTGTCGCTAACCGCGTCGTCAAGATTATTGACAATTTACCAGCCGCTAATTTTCATCACGTTGCGGGAATAGATAATCCAGCTGATTGTTTATCGAGAGGTCTTACACCCGAAAGGCTAATATCTCATCCATTATGGTCACAAGGTCCGTCCTGGCTCACGCAAGACCTCTCACTGTGGCCTATCACTAATACAGACCATAATACTATAGCGCTAGACAACGTACCGGAAGAGAAAATAACCGCACACCCCATTACTACGTCAGATCCAGAAACGTCCTTAGTTCAAGATCTTAATAAACGCATCTCCTCCTGGAGTAGACTCACGCGTATCCTTGTTTATGTCTGCAGATTTATAAATAAAATACCCCGTTCCGGTTCGATAGCAGTTACCGCGTTCGATATAAGCGCCGCAGAGCATATGATAATAGGCGATATTCAAAAAAGACATTTTGCATTCGAAATTAGACAGCTGGGAGCCGGTAGTAATTGCTCGCCCGCGCTAATGAAGCTTAAGCCATTTTCATGCGATGGCCTCATCCACGTTGGTAGTCGCCTTACCAACTCCGCTGAAAGTTCAGAATACAAATTTCCGATTATTTTACCGCGTCATGACGCTCTTGTAGAGTCTTTGATCGACTACTATCACAAGAAATATTTACATGCCGGCCCAGAGCTGCTCATGTCTTTATTAAGACAACGATTTTGGATCTTGTCCGCTAGACGAATTATTCGGTCTAGAATTAATAAGTGTAACACTTGCTTTAAATTAAAACCGCGCCCGCGATTTCCTTTAATGTCTGCTCTGCCGGGACATAGAGTCACGCAAGCGGAGAAAGCTTTCGCTCATACTGGCTGTGATTATTGCGGCCCTATATTGTATACGCCCATACGAGCTCGAGGTGTTAAAACTCGCAAGGCTTACCTATGCATATTTACTTGTCTTACTACGCGCGCACTCCACATCGAAGTAGCCACGGATCTTTCCACTGTGAGTTTTATCGCAGCTTTAAAGCGCTTCCTATCGCGACGGGGTCCCGTGAAATGTCTTTACTCTGATCGTGGAACAAATTTTATAGGCACTCGATCTTATCTACGAGATTTATATAATTTTGTCACAAAGGAATACCGCCCGCGTTTAGAAGAAGAATTGGCCGAAAGTCGCATTGAATTCAAGTTCATAGCGCCTGCCGCCCCACATTTCGGTGGTTGTTGGGAGAGTATGGTAAAATGTGTAAAGAACCATCTTTTTAAGGTTATTGGACAGCAGATCCTTGCGTATGAGGAGTTAATCACAATCCTCGCTCAAATAGAATGTTTACTAAACTCTCGTCCTCTCACTGTGCTTAGCTCCGATCCAGCTGAACCGATGGCTTTAACACCCGCACACTTTTTGAATACGTTACCATTGCGCTCTCTACCTGCACCTGATGTGGAATCTTCGCCAATTAATTTACTTCAACGACATACACTCTTAGATAAATTAGTCCAATCCTTTTGGCGTCGTTGGAGAACTGAATATCTGCATCAACTGCAGGCGCGGCGTAAATGGACTCAATGCTCGGTCCCCGTAAAGGTGGGCACAGTTGTCATAATTATAAATGATAATTCACCGACCCTCTCCTGGCCTTTGGGAGTGATCGTAAAGGTTCACCCGTCTAAGGACGGTATAGTTCGTGTCGCTACAGTAAAAACGGCAAGGGGTACACTCGTGCGACCAGTGGTGCGCTTGTGTCCGTTACCTACACAATAATAAACTCTACATCGCTCACATCTTACATCTTTACATCTATGTAATATAATATTATATATATATATATTTGTATTCGCTTAGTTTTAGTAAGTATTAATTGTATTTATCGCATCTTATTATTATTTTCTTTTAAAGGCAACCCTTTAAGGGCGGGGGAAATGATAACGCCATTTCTCAAATTAAAATATTCCGCGTTTTGGTCAATCTTATCGACGAATCAGATTTCCTCTATAATACCTTCATTTATTCCACTAATTCCTTCTTGCGACCGACAATCGGGTAAAAGGAGAAGTCTAAGTAAGAACACGCCCGCACGCGGAAGCATATTGTGTCACGCTCGCGACTCGCATATCTGTTTAATTATTATACGCCTAAAATCACGGCCGTGAATTGTATAAAATAAGTGTAAATCGCGCAAGAAAACTAGGAGTGTACCACGCGAGTGTCAACCTCAAGTAAGAAACGGCGGCGTTCTCCAGGTGCGTACCTTCAGTTTTATGTGTCGGTTGCAAATTTCAACGAAATCCAATTCCAACTACCTATTACAGTCCACTTTATTCCAATTTTGAACCACGCGTCACCAGTGGGTGTAGAACCAGAGACCCTTTTTATGGAAAAGAGGCATTCCATTTTAGTCCTCACGGGTGACAACGCATCTGCATTTTGATTCGCAAACGAGGATAGATGTAGATATCTATGGGCCACAACAACCACTTACTATCAAGGTGGACTGTGTTTTATTTTTTCACCCTATCCCATAAAAAAAGTAAGTCCTTGTGCTTCTACGGCCCTTCGCAGATCAATCTTAGGGGGAGCCTTATGTTTAGCAGTGGTCTTGTAATAGGTTAAATGGTGTTAATGATTTCAAATATCTTAACATAATAAATTATCTACTTAAGTTATTTTTTTTATTAAAATTTCAGACTAATAGAAAAAGAGACCGAGCGCTAAGCACATTTCAAGTGATGCCGAAACCATTCTCAATTTCTTGACAAGCACTCATCTGCACACGCTTCGTTATTATTTTGTTAATAGCCCGTAAAAGTTCACTGCTGGCGCACCAACATAAGATAAATCCATGTTGGATGCAAATTATTTTGATACTTGTGTGTGTGAGCGCAAATTTTTACAATAAGGTAAGCTTGGTTTTAGCATCACTTGAAATTCTTTTTGTTGGGATGAGTTTAAAATAAAATATATTAAGTATTGCATGCAATTTCAACGTCTACATGAGCTGAGAAACGCCCCATTTCACCTAGGGTAAAAGAGACGGACTACGCACATAAAATAATTCATCCTTTTTCGACAAGTCGGTTTTAAGCGACGGCGGGTGGGTCAAGAATTCACAGTGAGTAATTATTGTTACTTTGCATACGAATAGATTTTATATTTTTACAACTGACTTACAAAATAGAATATCACAATCTTTGTCAATATGGTAAACAGCGCGGCTTGTAATAAAACTTTAAGGGGAAACCAACTAATGAAATGCACAAAGTGCGATTACCAATACCACCCCTTGTTTGTTAATATATCCGAGTATCTTAAGATTACAGATATAACAAGATCAACATAGATATGCCCACAGTGCCGCTGTGGGACGCCAAAAACCGACAACACGAACAAACCCATACGCTCACCAGTCTGCAACGAAGATATCGACAGCTGTAGTCCAGTGGTGGTTGAATCACCCTCTTTGGCAGCAAACTCATGTCAGTTATCTCTACTGGCTTCGGAAATAAAATTACTTCGTGAAGCCGTAGGAGAATTAAAAGCCCACCTCAAGTCACTAACTGATCACTTGATGCAGTGCAATATACGACTAAATGACTATGAAATCGCGAGTTATCGCGAGCAGAGGATAAAATCCGCGCGCTTGAAACAAATGAATCGGAGTTCCTCAACCTAATTTTATATTAAATTTAGTTTTAAGTTACCAATTAATTTTTATATTTTACCAATTCTTGTCAATTGATTTACGCAAAAAGTTCGAGTTCAATTTAATATACACACAAACACACAACTCACTACACTTTAAACAAGCACTCGCACTGAAATACACACCAACAAAGATTTAAAGTTATTTTCACGAATTAATAACGACATTCCCACTCTTGCAGCTGTAAGCAACTTCAGTAACGGAACAATATTATCTTTTGTCTTAATATTTATATTAATTAAACATGGATTTACTTAGGATTGCTAATGATATAGATGAATCACTGGCCATAGACTGTCGTAGTATTGTGGCTCCAACGAAGACTCTATGGAAAAAAGCAAGAGTGTTCTTACTAATGATGAGCACAGTCTAAAAGTTTTGATATTCAATATACGAATTTATCAACGTAATTTTGACGATTTTATAATAGCTCTGAAACGTTTTGAACTGAATTTGGATGTTATTGTATTCACGGAATGTTGGCTGTGTGATGGTATCGTTTTTGAATCATTGGATGGTTACAAAATCTATCAATCCTTATCACAAGTAAACAAATGTGGTGGGATCGTCGCTTACGTAAAAAAACTCATGGAATAGTGAAATTGCACCTCAGGTGCATAAATTGGATGACGCTGATTGTCTCCTCATAAATATATATAACGACCTTACAGTCCTAGGAATTAACCGCTCTCCTTCCTTCTCAAATACCCATCGATTTATTTCCTCTTTAGACTCTGTACTCTCTGCTATTCAACACAAACGAACCATAGTAATTGCAGGTGACATTAATATTAATATTAACGATCCAATGAGTGCACAAGCAGCCAACTATTTATGCTCGATGGCATCTCATGGTCTATATCCAGCAATAACAAAGACAAATAGAGGAGCCTCATGCCTTGACCTCATCTTCATAAAATCTGAGACAAAGTCCTCAGGACTCGTCTGCAAATCATCTATTACGGATCATGATATAGCTCTGGCTAAAATTCTTTTGCAAATCCACCGACATACAAGTAAAGTACGCATGATGCCAAAAACAGACTGGGAGTCGGTTGCCTCATATATCAACAGTTTGCACTGGAATGAAATAACAAGCGAAAATAATGTCAACACCACCTCAAACAAATTTAACGATGCTATGACATACGCAATCAATAAGTACACGCAGGAAGTTAAAGTAGGTCGCAGAAAGAGCAACATAAAATGCTGGATCACCCCTGGATTAATAAGATGCATGAAACACGTGGACAAATTACACCTTGAGTATAGAGCTGATCCGAATAACGAACGTAAATTATTGGTCTACACGCGGTATAGAAACTTTTTTTTTAACACTCTACTATGGAATATTAAAGCTGAACATAACAGAAAGGAAATTAAAAAACAAAGACAATTCACGTAGTCTTTGGAATAAAATTAAAAGCCTATGATATAATTCTACGTCAGAGTCCCACCCCCTTTCGCAACAGTAGGGGAGGTCTACGCTGAAAAAATTTTAAGTAACTTAGACACATCTTAAGACCAACTTATCAAGAATCACAGATATTCAAAATCTAACCCAAACACTTTCTATCTGCATCCTACTGACGAACAAGAAGTGAGGCGAATCATTCACAACCTAAAAACCAACAGTTCTCCAGGATTAGACCATGTCACTGTTAATCATCATCATCATCATCATCATTACAGCCCTTCACAATTCCACTGCAGAACATAGGCCTCCCACAAGGTATGCCACGAAGCACGGTCCTGAGCCAACTGCATCCATCGACTTCCTGCATAACTTACCAGGTCGTCACTCCACCTAGTGGGGGGAAGCCCATCACTTCGCCTACCGGTTCAAGGCTGCCACTCGAGAACCTTTCTTCCCCATCGGTTGACGGTTCTTCGAGCTATATGGCTGGCCCATTGCCACTTCAGCTTACTAATCCGTTGGCCTATGTCGGTCACTTTGGTTCTACTGCGGATATCCTCATTTCTGAGTTTATCACGCAGAGAAACTCCTAGCATAGTCCTCTCCATAGCTCGCTGAGCGACCTTGAGCTTCTTCATCCGGCCAGCAGTGAAGGACCAAGTCTGAGTTCCGTATGTCATCACTGGCAACACGCACTGGTTGTACAGTCTCGTTTTCAAGTTTTGAGGTATACTTGACGAGAAGATGTGCCGTAATTTCCCGAACGCTGCCCAACCGAGTTGGATCCGTCAATTGACCTCTCGGTCAAAGTTGGACTTACCTAGTCGGACTATTTGTCCCATTTGTCCCATACTCGTCAACAACTTCGAGCTTAGTGCTCCCAACAACTACCGGCATAGGTGTGACATGGACATTAAGCATGATCTTTGTTTTGTCCATGTTCATCTTAAGACCTATCCGTTGGAAAGCACTATTGAGGTCATTGAGCATAGTACTTAGGTCTTCCAGCGATTCTGCCATAAGGACTATATCGTCGGCAAATCGAAGGTGAGTGATGTACTCGACATTGATGTTGATACCGTATCCTTTCCAGTCCAGAAGCTTGAAAACGTCTTCCAATGCAGCGGTGAAGAGTTTCGGGGATATGACGTCACCCTGTCTTACACCTATCTGCAATTGGATAGGTGTCGTACTCTGGTTCTGTACTCGGATAGCCATCGTAGCCCTACTGTACAAGCACTTCAGAACTTCGATATACCGACAGTCCACTTGGCACCGCTGAAGGGACTGCAGCACCGCCCTAATTTCGACGGAATCAAAGGCTTTCTCATAGTCCACATACGCCAGACATAGTGGCAAATTGTACTCCTCTGACTTTTGTACGATTTGCCGAAGGGTATGTAACGTGGTCTGAAGCCTTTTCGGAAACCGGCTTGTTCGGGAGGCTGGAAGTCGTCAATTCTGCAAGCGAGACGATTTGTAATGACTCTCGAAAACAGCACGTAGACGCGGCTCAGAAGGGAAATCGGTATGTAGTTCTTCAAGAGAGCGTTGTCGCCTTTCTTGAAGAACAAGACCACCGCACTTCTGCTCCACGCCTCCGGTGTAATGCCACCATGGAGGACGGAGTTAAAGAGCTTCTGA